CAGGTGAAGACAGTGGACGAATGGATGGGTGGGTGGAGAGGATAAGGGGCGGGGATTGGGATGTGGGGTTAGTCTAACTTCTGAATGCAATGGCTGAAATGTAATGGGACCCAATAACAGGGCCTGAATGCCGACAGATAATACTAGACAGCTGACCAGAGCCAGAAAACCACACTGAACATACTCACCCATCCACCTACACTTGTATTACTACACTTGAGAGGACATGCTGTTATGGTAATTCTCACAAATTGACATTGCTCTTGTTGGAGGCCATGATTGGAACCAATTGAGTACTTCTTCCTGACTGGCTGGCTGGTGTCCCATAAAGGAACAGCTCGACATTTGGAAAAATGTCAACTAAAGGAAAAACACATAAATAAAAATAAAAAAAATCAGCTAAAGCTCAAAGTCACATCTCATTTGCCTGATGGTTTCGCAGGGAGGGGGGTTACATGATGTTTTGCTCCTTGGCTGGGACTTCCTGCCCTCTCATCTGGTTGCCTGGCAACTTGACAGTATTGACAAGACTCCAGGAAAACGTCTGCAGCAGTGCTTCTGCTTGTCTTGGTGGTTGGACTGACCTCACCGTGGGGTAAGTTAAGCTGAGCTAAACTTCGAACACAGCTGACGATGGTGTGAGCCGGCCATTACGCTCTGAGGTGCTGTGTTGAAGGACTGGTGGAGGATTGCTCTGCATCTTTTTCAAACCTGACACATTTCCACCAAAACGTTTAATCTGAAATGGAATTCAGGTCGTAGAACTCTTGTCTAAGGCAATCCCAAAATAATAGTATACTTTTCCTTTGGGGAAATCATGAGGAGAGGTCAGTTTGGAGCCACATCCATGTTAATAATCAAAACAAACAAGGAAAATGACATATTAATGCTAATGTAACGCTATTTGGATAGTTATGATTAGGTGCTTCGATCATATTTATAGTTTATGATATTCTGGTTAAATTGAAGCAATTAGTTTATAGATCATTTTAAGATAATTTGACTATTTTGACTATTATATTAGATTTCACTGCATTTAGCACAAATCCCCTTTATCCAGCCTTTCCACCATGAAGATTGGTTCATTTTTCTGATAATAATGAGAGGTTTTGATGGTTTATTAGATAAAAAAGACATGCTGAAGTATACTTGTGAATATGTTAATGTATGCTTCGAAAACAACCAGCTGATTAATCAAAAAGCAAAACTAATCATCCCCCTCTGAGCTGTGTGACAGTGTGTTTCCCTCGTCCTAAAACAGCATTTCTTCCTTTTTTTTCAGTCAAAGCTTGTCCTCTCAACTACAGCGATACAAGCACAGATACACAAAAGCTTCAGCTTTTGCAAACACAGATGCATTAACCTGGTGTGTAAACAGACATCAATACACGGACAGTAACTTACAGCTCTAGACGGACACCATACACATGTCAATAGGGTTAGCGATACAGACCTGACTTTAGCACAGGGTTTCCAGAGAGCAGCACTTTGAGAAAAAGAGAGTTTCTCAGTCGCATAGCATAGCAAAGCAACAACCACAACACGCACCACTAAGAGCATACGGACGAAAAAAAAAAAGTACACGGTCTACACACAGCACCCGGCGAGTGGAAACAGGAGGAAAACAAAGGCGAGAAAGAAGGAAGAAGCAGTCAGAAGGAAGAGGTGACCGACAAGACACAGTAAAGAAACGAAGAGAGGAATGGAAGGAATAGAATAGAATAGAATCCTTTATTGTCCCCAAGGGGCCACAAAAGTTGTAGTAGCATCCACAAAATATAGGACAGACATCATACAAAGGTGACAAGAGAAGAAGAATAACAATATACAATATCCACAGTGTTCGGTAGCAAGAGGGCAAATATACAAGATTACAGTACAGCAGAGGAAGGTGTGTAGATAAGTGTGTGTGTGTGTGTGTGAGTGTGTGTGGTCTATGTATGTATGATAGAAGGGCTGGGGCAAGAGGAGGTGGATGGAGGGGAGGTTTCTAAATTACAGGGTCTGTACAACAAAGAGTCCTGAGAGAAGAAGGGAGAAGAGGAGGAGGAGGAGGGAGAAGGCTCTACCTTCGGCTGAGTTCTCAATTGCTGCAAGAGAGGAGAAGAGAAAGAAGAAAGGGTTGAGGTTACGGTGATGCAAAAGAGCAAGCCTGGATTGGGTGGCATCGGCTATTTGCAAATCCACGCGTGCTACGTGTGGGCATGCGTTTAGCTGTTTAGAGATAAAGGTGTCACAGTGTGCATGCATAGTCAGAGGGATTACTTTTTAATGTTGAAACAGGTTTGAGATCTGTGTGCAAAAAGTGCTTTGGATCTATTAGTTACCTTCAAATTATTACGAAATCTGCTGTACAGCCTGGAGCATGAGCTATAGTTGTCCTCTAATGTATTCATACCCTTCCATTAAAGAAAAGGCAAAATTCACAATAGTCACTCAAATAACTAGAAACTGAAAAAAGTAGTAATAAATAAAAATTTGGTAAATTATAATTTAGTGAAATACGACATTGCTTCTGAATTGTGGTTGAAAAGAATAATTTTAAAAAACAAACAAAACTGTCCAGGACAAATTAGAGCACTTTGCTGATGAGCAGTGGACCAAAACACCTGTCATCAGGTGCAGAAGTCTGATTGAAAGTTACAGAAAACACTTGATCGCAGTGATTGGCTCAAAGAGTTGCTCAACTAAATATTAGTTTGCGGGTCCCATCATGCTTGTCTGCTTGTTTTGTTTTTAAATATTTCTGTTGAACCACAATTCAGAATCAAGGTCATGATTTTCATTAAATTTTCATTTTTTATTACTTTGTCCATTTCAGCTTATTTCAGTGACAGCTGTTCTTTTCCTTCTTTAACGGGAGGGTATGAATACATTTGAGGACGACTGTACGTAAACAAGGAGTTACTAAAGCAAGCTGTGACTAGAAAACATAACTGGTGATGTTTTGTAAATGGGGGTATAGGTTTATATGGAAATACCTGAAAAAAAATGTAGTTCAGAGTTTAGTTTTCATGCAGTTTAGAAAGAATGGGAAAAAAAATCTGATTAGAAAAGATGTCCGCTGGCTTGTCACTCAGCCTAATCTTACTGGGATCACATTGTAAACTGGGTACACTGTGCTATGCTTGTGATGTGTCATCATAAAAGCAAAACCAGACGACATCATTACAAGTGTCAGGTCATGTTGTGTAATTCTTTTTTATATATTAGCATAATCTTGAGTTAGCTACGTAAAAGCTACGCCTGTCAGATACTGTGCAAGCCTGCAAGAATGAAGCTGGGTCGGAAAAGCTACGTTTATACTGATTTCTGGGAAGTTTATCATAATTTCATTCCATTCCCGTGTGCTGCAAACAGCCTGCCAGGGTGAAGTAAAGTCTTGGATGTGCTTGACAGCCTACTGTGCACGACCTTTGGGCCCACTGCAAGAAAGACCTGTAAATGTGTATAAATTCAGTGAGCAGCTTGAATGACTGGAACCCCAACCATGAAAATCCACTTCTCCTTGTTACATCCGTCCTGTTGGGCACACATGTTTGTAACAACTAACCTCTCCACGAGATCTATTTAGATTGTTGTTTTACACATTTACACTTACTTCAAAATCTCATGTTTCTAAAACGACTGTGCAAAAATGTGTTTACCGTAGAGATGGTTTAAATTTTTAGACAAATTATAAAAAACGTGGAGGTGAAGGAAGGAGCTTCGTCGTTGCGTCCATCTCTGTACACTGACCTCGTTTGACAGATACCAGGAAGGTCTTGCTATCTGTTCCGAGAGTGTTGCCGGCCTTGCAGGTCACACCGTTCTTCATGACCTCAGCAGTAGCTTGTACAGTCATGGTGCTTACCGCCTTGTTGTCTCCCAGTAGTATCGACTGTTAGAAGTGAAGAACGGAGAAAAGAGAGACAGGGGAAGAAAAATGAAGATGTGCTTTTTTTTTTTTTTACATCTTCTCATATATATATTCTAAATTTGTGTTTTTTTATTAACATTTTTTGTTTTAACAAGTCTGTCTTTTTGGACAAACTACTGTTGCTTTATTTCATATCTCTCCTCATTTCTCATTAAAACAAAAAAAAAAAAAACACAACCAGTTCTGCAAGTTTAGATATCTCTCATCTTTGATCTTACACACAACACTATTTGCTTCTGACATCCACTTTTTCAAAAGAATCATTAAAGTTTTATCTCATTTATCAGCTTTTTTAATATTTTAATAAGCCGAAGCTACACTCCCTCTCCTAGTCTCTTTAAAGCTATGTCATCTGGGATTTTCTTTCTCTTCTTTTTAATACAGCTTTTGAAGTCGAACATAACAGTCCACCAAGAAGATCTTAAGATGTGAAAAATCGTGCTTAAAACTTGCGAAGTTCACCCGAACGACAATGCAGCAAATGCATGCGATCTTTTGCTTGAACTACGTCGACACCTCTGTTTTAATAGTTCTGCTGCTACTTCCAGGAAAGCGCTGCAGTCATTGATTCCTGTAAATTGAAAGTGATTCTTGTAAAGTGCCAGGTCAAACACTAAAGCATTGTTTTTAAACGTGTACCTCTTTTCCTGAGGGCGTCCATTCGAACTGAGGGATGGGGAAGCCAAAGGCCGAGCACTTCAGAGTAACCATGTCTCCTTCTTTCCCCACCTCTCCGACAGTGGGATTCTCGATCATTGGCTTTCCTGGACAAGGAGGATAAACAAAGCAAAACAATGCAGCAAGACCCCAGACACACCTACAGTTACATCTCATATTGGAACTAATCAACGGAGAGGGAAGTATCCGCTCTAAGCTGTTTCCTTTGAATACTCAGCTTCCTTTTCCTCGCTAAGACAATGCCCTGCACACTAACGCTGACCGTAATTAGTATGATGTGTGTGTGTGCAGCAGTGCTGGTGCAGGATGGGCGATCTACCTGCTCAGAATGCAGCGTGAAGTTGAGTTTGTTTCACTGCTCTGAGCGACAGGTCTAACGTGGCTACGAGTTATTGACAGAGGCTGAAGCCATGTAAATGTAGAGATTAACATAATAGTGTGTGTGTGTTATGTGTGTGACTGTGGTGTTAACAGGCTTGTGTGTACATGGAAACACAAGATGCTAATGTGATTAACCCTTACATACTGTTCTGTGTCAAATTTGACCCATTTTGACATTTAACAGCAGTAAAAATAGCCTAAACGTCATTCTTTTAGCCTGAAAGTTTCCTAAAGTGACCCAAAATACAAAAAAATGTTCTACTTTTGTACAAGTGCTAAAAAGTTTTGCACAATGAGGCTGTTTTGGGTCAAATTTGTCTATCGAAATGGATTTTGGATCTATCGGTGTGGGTCAAATCAAGGAAAATGGTCGTTTGTACTGTGAAGGCATAAAATATGAACAGCATGTCACGGTTAGAGTGATTACATTAAAATGCTGATCTGTGAATGTGTGCATATATGTCAACAGATAACTCTATTTTTGTAGATTTTCAGAAAGCTTATTTTTTATTGTTTGCTTGAGATCAATCAAAGTGAAGCTGAGTGGATTTGACTCAGTAACAATAGAGATAACCTAAGTTTGATTGATATTGTCTCAGATAGATGATGGAACAGCAGGTTTTCTGAAAGTTTGTGAAGATGGAGTTATCTGTACCATGTGCGTACATTACCTTTGACAGTAAGGTTGACGCTAGTCTGGGCTGTCAGACCTGGCACCGACGGAACGCCTCCAACACACATGTACTCTCCGGCGTTAGCGTAAGAAACTTTTTCTATTGACAGAGTGCCGTCCTGAGAGAGCACCTCGGAGCCCTGGAGGAACACAAACACACTGAAATAAAACCAGTTGGACTCACACCACCGTGCGTCTGTTCTTTCTTTTAATTCTCTGAATGCAGGACCAGAACAGCGCCTGTAAATATGTAGTTCGCAGGAGCACCGCCACGCTGGGAAAGCAGAATGTTCCGACAGCGCCGTGAAAACAGACCAAAGCCGGTCCTCCGTGATGAACCTGTCTCTTGCAATTCTGCTCGACTTCTTTTCATAGGAATCTGTCTTTCTAAGAACAAACATGTTCTCTACTCAGAAAACCAGCAGCCGGTGAGTTTCTATCACACCCAGGAGACACAACAATAGATACACGGGCTGCAACAACAGGCTTGACACTGGAAGAAACACTCTGCACATAACAAGTGGAAAAGAGCAGGAGTAAATCTCAAACACACCACGGCTATCACAACAATACACGGGTTTACAGTATCAGAATGCACGAAGATGCTTCAAATAGACAGTAAGGGTGAACAAACCCTCACCTGCTTGTTGTGTTTACTGTTGAAAATAGGTGTAGAACATAATAAAATCTGCACTGTCTGTCACAGAAATGGGCTTTTTCATGCCATCAAGTTGCCTATAGTCTGCTGCTTATGATAACATTATATTTATTATCCAAACAAGCTATTTCCATGTTAGTGTAAAGTGTTTTTTTTAGTATTAGAACACAAAGTGAGTTTCTTGTCTCATAACCAGATGGTAAGTAAAAATATTTTACAGCTATAAAATACTGAGTTACAGTATATAAGATGTAATTAGAGACGTGCAGCACGTGTTAGAGTGGCTTTTTTTTTCCCTCCCATTCAGACAATGCAACAAGCACCAGGGTCTGCTCTCCAGTTGGACACGGCACAATGAAGCCTGTGTAGCAAAAGACTCACAACTGTCTTCAACGGGAGCGAACACAGACACCAGGGCTCCAGTGTTAGGTGGCAGCTGCACACTGTCAGCTCAGTGTCACACACAGAAATTATGTCGTGTCTAAATAAAAAAAAAAAAAAAAAAAAAGAGCGCTGTGAAGGATTAAATATTTGGTCACCATCTAACCAGTGTTGTAAATATGTAATACCAATAAGTCTGCGGTTGAAAAAAACATTTGTGAATTGACGTGGTGTCCCTCTACGACCTGATGTCGACTCAGTGCCTTATATTAAACTCTTGATTAAACTGTCTTGCATTTGTTTTTTTTTAAAGAAGAACAGTGAGAGATATACAAATTGCTGGCTAAATTATTTTTTAAAAAAGCATTTGGTATTCCAAGGAAGACCTTGTTTTTCCACAACAGATGAAAAGAGAAGAAAACAAAGCGTGAGAAAGTGATGGAACGCACCTTTTTCCAGTGCACTATGTGGTTGTCAGAGGCCTTGGTCTTACACTGCCACTCCACTTTGTCCTCAAGCTTGACAATCTGAGGTTCGACGGGGGTCACGCTCATTGGGTCGATGTCTGACGGAGAGAAAAACAACTGAGAGACAGGACGGGGAGACACCTGAAAAACCTGAGGCGTTCTATACATTCTAAGAAATAAAAAAAGAAGCGCCACTTACAATCCAAAAGCTCCTCATCATTTAAACAACCATGTAATAAGGCTTTAAAAATGGACGTGCTAAGCAGAATATTATATATATATTTTTATAAGTACAAAGCTAATGCACTTACTGTGAAGTCAAGCACATTTCAAAGCCCAAGTTAAGCCCATTCACTGCTTTTTCTAGGTTATCACCACTTAATGTGTGTGATAAGATCAAATTAAGCAGCGTGGTTGGGATAACATTAAAGTAATAGATGAACTGTGAAAAATTGAACTGGGTATTTCCTGGCTGAAAGGATTCCATTAAAACTTATTCCGATCTTTAGAGTTGTATGATTTACTGATGAAAAGAACGGCTCACTACCAGGTTGAAGGCAAGTTGTTCTTTATGTGTGTCTTTGGTTCACTCACAATGGACGGCGAGGGCGATGACTCCACTCAGGTCAGCATCCAGGTTGTCAAAATCTGTGGCTGTGCACTTGTACTGTCCAGCATCTGTGCGCTTGACAGATTTCAGAGTCAGAAGACCACCCTGACCAGTGATGACTTTTCCCTGAAAATGCAACGACGGGGGTTAACGATTGAGCAAGACAATTCGTACATCATGTTTTGTGCACGAGGTTCTCACGTACGTCTTTAGCAAAATCAAACTCAGGCTGTGGGTTTCCGTCAGTCTCGCATTTCATATTGACAGTGTCGCCCTCTTTGACCGGAGAAGTGTTGAGGAGAGAAAACGTCGCTTTCTCAGAGGGATCTGGATGGACAGGAACAGACACGGAACAGGTGAAAATTCCTTCACTTGTTACACTGTTATACTGTATATCATCAATCAAAGATCAGCGATGCATTCCACAGGGGTTACTTTCCCAGTCTGTCTCTCTGCTTCCTTGACTCATCATTCAACAAAGAAATTCCAGCGTGGGTGAGTTAAACTACAGTGCTGAGCAGGAGGAAAGATATGCAATCAAAGAAATGGGCCCAATAATTCAAGTTTCAACATCATTAGCTGCTTTTTGACAACTTTAAATTTAACCAACATGTATTTCCTGCAATGGAAAGTAGCATAAGGCATATGACTTATGAACAAATAGAGTGATTTCACAAGCGGGTTGAAAACATACACTGTCTGTAAAGATGAATAACATGACGATTCCCAAGAAATAAGGCTGGGACATCTTGATTTCCCGTTGGTATGTGGTTGCATCAGAGTTAACATCTACAGTAACATGAGCCAGACAAAACCACAAAGCACAGCTCAAATAAATGTATCCCAGATGTGATTACTGCCACATTGGGAACTTCTTGTCACACTGCAGTATGCTCAGGAGTTTGTTTTTCTGATAAGGTTGTTCATGACCAGGTATTTCATGCATATATGTATTCATGTTGGTCCCCACTGTTCACTGCTGTGATTGACAGCTGACTCTGTCATAACCATGACACGACACCTGCCATGAATACAGAAATATTTATGAAAGCTGTCATTAAGTACCATTCTGTTAATTATGTCATTTTAAATGCGTAGTTGACGATGTCTGAGATGTCTTACGAAGTGATTCCTGAACCTATTAGCAACGATGACAGCGACGACATTTATTAGGATCTGAGTTTTTCAGAAGAGTGGAGGAAATCTGCTGCAGATCAAGTATGACAAACCGGCATGCTGGTACACCTTCTACAGTTACACATTTCTCCACCAGAGTTGCACTCTACCACCCAAGACGTACAGGTTGCCCACTAATCATGGCCCTTCCATCCCAACGTGTCTTTGAACCCCAGCCCAAGTGCTCCTGATGGCAGGTAAACACCTTGCATGGCTGCTCTGCCGCTTTATTGTGAGAGTGTGTGTGACAGGTGAATGAGAGACACACTGTTAAGTGCTTCGTAGAACCTAGTTCAGATTATAAAGGTGCTATATGAATGCATACCAGTCACCATTTTATGACAATTTCACATTTCACAAATCCACCAAAATGTAAAAAACCATCTACAGTTCCTTCAAAAAAACCAAAAGAGAACTGAAAGACCTCTGGCTAATATACATATAATAAATGAACCAGATGTAATCCCCAAACCACTCTGCTCCCTCCTCTTCACTTACAGTTGAGGTTGATGGTGATGGTGTCAGACTTGGTCTGTTTGATCTGGTCCTCTGGCATGCTGTATTCCACAGTACACTGGAACACTGAGTCCTTGTCGGCCTTGGTGGGCTGCATATACAGGGTGCTCTTCACAGTGAAGAGACCTGAGGCCTCCTTCACAATTGAAGGAATCATGTAGGTCGCTGGCAGAGAGGAGGAATGGAAGAAGTGAAAACATTTCCTGAGATGAATGACGTCAAAAGATCCATTTATGTAATGATCACAGAAGGTATACAGACTACCCTCTGCTTTGGAGAGGACATAAATACGACCAATAAGACACATACCCTCCTTCCTGTCTTTGACCTCCGCAAGGGGCTTGTCATCTTTGAACCAGATGATTCTTGGTTGGGGGTGTCCATTCATAGTCACGCAGGTTCCAATCTGATACAAATGGAAAAATGCAGGAAGTGTACAAAATATGAGATAATGCATCGTCTGACAAAACAAAGGAATGTGCAAACATACAGCAGCTATACACAAACCTCTGAGCTGGTAGGTTCTCCTGCAGAAATGGCCTGAGTCGATGGCTTTGTAAGTTCTGGCTTCTCAGGAGCAACTGACACAACAATAAAAATGGAGGAGAAGTTACTATTGCACCACTATAATACACTTGAACCAAGAGTGTAATGATAACCCTGATACAGAACCACCCACAGACACCCAGCTTCCATATTTGCAGCCCAATCCGCATGCCTTTGACCCTGTTAATTGAGTTGAGCAGTAAATAAGCTGCCTCACATTATTCCACTGTGACCTGGTTCACATGAGCTGATAAGAGTCAAATCACAAAAAAACAACAACACACTTCCTCCTCTCTGGCTCGTACACACAGCCACAGGTGTGAGTGTTCCCTCTTGTTTCTCTGCCTTATTCCCGGGCTCGATGGTTAACATGCAAGGTCATCTTATCGCTGCCTGCAGCTGTCGACTGCTTATAAAAATAAACAGTAGATGGGTATTTCTCTCTCCATCATTTGAATCTCAGTGTTATTTGTATCGTCGCTCCCAGAAGTGCTGCAGCATGTTTCACATACTGTGCAATGCAGGGAGCCAAAAGCAAAGTAATTGAAGACATAGATTTCTTCAGCCTAAACAGTCTCATAAGGACTAAAATGATCTTCTACAGCACTTGCATTCAGACCTGCAGAAGTTTTAATTGTTAAGAGAGCCTAAAAAGAAGCAGAGGGTGTACAGAGAGGGGGTAGCATGCTTCTTGTAACTCTGTCGTTGGCGTGTATTTGCTTAGCGGCCGTACTGTTTATCCTACTGTAGGCTTCCCGGCTGGGAGAAACACTGCTGCAGCTCAACCCTCAGGAGACCTCATAACTCAGTCCCATTAAGTTAAGGCAGGACGGACACACTATAATTCAACCGCAGTGAGTCAAGTGGTCAGATGTGAACAAAGAATAATTGCTGGTTTGTGAGACAGGCTGTTTTCTTAGTTTTGTGGGTATTAAGTGCGTCTAAAAGGCTTTCATTGAGGTTTTGTCAAACACTGACTCGCCCCATTCACAATTAATAGCTTCTTTTTAACGAGATTACTTTAAAGCCAGGAGCCTCCGAGTGCGTAAATGTTAATAGATAACTTGTGAGCTCTTTTTTAAGTGGAAGCATGACTAAAGGTTGTTTTGGTATCCCCACAAAACAGATCCTCTATTTTAGAATAACTGTTCAATCAATTGAATCCCAAATGCTAATTAATTTTACTCATTTTGGTTCAATCGCTAAATGCAAAAAGTCTGATTGATATCAAGGGTTGCCGGGGGAGGGGCAAAGACACAGAAGCAGGGTCAACATTTGCCACCTTGGTAATAAATCCGGACTCTTATTATGGAGAGATCTATGAGACATGACAGGTGTGATTGAACTATTCATCAATTGTGTCAAGAGTGATTAGATTGTGGTTAATTGACCTCTGGGGAACTTATTAAAAAAACTGGTAACCCGAGGCGTTGGAAAAGCCTCCAAAGTCCCACACATGATGAAAAAAATGTTTACATTTTCTTCAGATATAGATGATTATGGCAAATCATATTTTAAAATACTACATTTCTATGAAGAGGTATGTGGTGCTAGCGTAGACATGTGTGAAATGCAATCAGCAAAATACATTACATGCATTAAGTATAATTAACCCAATGCTCAATCAGAGTATGCATGAACACACAGATCCCACAGATTAAAGTCATAAACCTTTAGTGGCAGTGACAGCAACAAATCGAGTCGTAAATACCGTTTGACAACTAATGAGAAAGTTGGAGGTGGGAAAAGGTCACGCTGAGGGCATATAAAAGGCAAAAGGGCACCGGTTTACTCACAGAAGACTTTGAGCATAGTGGTGCCATCTCCAACACCAGCAGGGCCAGCAGTGACCTGGCAGTAGAAGGCAAGCTCATCAGAGGGTTTAACTGAGGTGATGGTCAGGGTGAAGTTCTCTTCGATGGTGACCCGGCCTGTCAGGGGCGTGTTGTCGTCACTGTTTCCCTCTCCACCCTGGCGGCGGAAAGCAACGCGTTTCCTGGTTCCCTGCTCCTCCTGAAAGGAAAATAAGGGACATCGAGAGAGAGGTTGGGAGGGAGATAACATATGACAGAGATACAAGAAATAGAAAATAGCTGGCACCAAAACCGTTCCATTGTATTAAAAATTCTTCTTAAAATGTTCTTAACAACTTGAATTTCAAATATTTTTTCATCAAATTACTTACAATGTACCATTCGACGATAGTGTTGCTGGACGCCGATGAGACGGTGTGTGTGCAGGGCAGTGTGGCGGTGTCTCCTTTCAAAACCTCCACTTTAGGAGACACCTTCACAGTCACAGCTCCACTGCATACTGCAGAAAACGAAAGAAGAACGAGGTTAAGGATTTGTGGAAACGCAACCAGAGGAATCGACAGTGTCGGAAATATGGGTTTTACAAATATATGCAAATGTTTACGAGGATTAAAGTCTGACACTACGACTATGTATCATGTTTAAAAAAGTTATTTAAAATGAAATACAACTTTTACATGATCGCGAACTCAGGTAAATACCTACCACATAACAAAAATGACACTTTTCATGTTCAAAAGCATAACTAGCTGACAAATAAACAATAACTTTAGATCTGTAAAGTATACCGCCTCTTAAAGAAGGCCACAAGGAGATATGGAGACACAGTGTGAGACAAACAATAAACTTAACCCTCAGGGCCACCGCATTGTTCAAACAGCGTGTTACGAGAACTGAGGACAGCAGAGTGGCATCCATGAGGTACTCTGTTAGTAGACGAGCATGCCTTTTCCTGCAATGCCTTGGGCACTTTGGACTCATCACTCATCTCACACACATCAGCAACAAGAGGCCATAGTCTATGATTACCGCCACTGGAAATACACATACACATACTGGAGCATGCGATGTATGCCCCTTACACACAAGACACTAAACAAACACAGTTGTACAACTGCGGAGAAGACAACTGACACCAGGGCCACGCCACAGGGTCACACACACACAGATTTACAGTATGTTGACACAGAATGGCACACATCCTCCACAGCAACAAACAACTATCTTCAGTGTAGAAAATATGTGCAATCTTGGCATATTAAACAATTATTCCACCTGAGATCTATAGATTGGGTTGAGAGCATGACAAGTCAAGACATATGGACTCTTCAATTGAAATGTCCAAAGCATTCCTTAGGTGTTTTCCTGTGGGTTAAACATCTAAACATCTGTAAATCCAGACTACAGTTGAAGAGATAAAAACAGACAACTCCATCTTCACAAACCTTCAGAAAACCCTTTTCCATCATCTACCCTAGACAATATCGACTAAACTTCAGTTATCTCTGTGTTTGTCATGTCATTTCTACTGAGTCAGATCCACTCAACTTCAGTTTGATTGATATTATCTCAAGCTAGCAACAAAAAACGAAGGTTTTCTGAAAATCTACAAAAATTGAGTTATCTGCTTTTTGCAAATGAACTCTTCACAGTGGCAAGCTATGATTATTATTGCTCCCATAAAGGTATTAAAAACTGTTAAGGGGCGCTGGGGGAAACCATAAGGCCCCTGTGACCGGCACTGTCAGTGTTCTCCATTCAACACAGACATTAGGATGCACACTGTGTCCCAGATTTGCATGGAAGAGTACGCAGCAAGGGCACAGGACGGACCCAGTCTGGTTCCTGTGGGGATAAAGGAACACGATCGCGCTCTAAACTCTTTGTAAATCCAGTTATGAAGAAACAATGTGAAGACCAGATTGTATTACAGTGGGAAGAGTCTGGAAAAGGGAGGACGGAGGGCTGGAGGAAGGAAAAGGAGCTCCATTTCTGCTAATGAAGTCACTGCAGCAAGTACAGTGTCATAAATCGTATGTTGCACCAACACATGATTACACTTGAGTCCACTGTGTGGTGAGCGTGAGGCGTTAAAACACCGCATTTAAACAAAGGACTTTTTACTTAGTTATGTAAGTGGGGTTGCACTACGAAATCAGCACAGTCAAGACCATTCATCAACACGGACAGCACATTTCACAGCCAATTATGAATGAAAGATATGGCTTGAGAGTCGTTCATACATCCATAACGTTACCTAATATGCCAGTTAAAGAAATAAAAGGCTGTTTACCGTAAGACACAGTACTCATATAGGAGTAAACTGCAGCATTTTCAGACAGAACACGGCAGTAAACAGCCAATCAGCAACATTCCCAAACATCTTTCTAATAGTTCAGACACTACAAACATTAAATATCATTAAAAAGCAAGAAATGTAGACTGAAATTAACATTCAAATTGGGGACATGCGTATTACTAATGAACAACCTAGCCTCGAATTCTCTACCATAACATAAATTAATCATACCATCAATTTCTGGACTACAAAATCTACAGTTGAATAATTTATTTGTTGTGAGAAACTGCCAAGAGTGGGGAGGATGGACTTGTGGGAATCAGAGCTGTTTGACAGGCTGGTTTTAATAAAAAAAAAAAAAAAAGGGCAACGAAATGCTGATGGGGAGGATGAAAGAGTGTTTGCTCAAAACGTCTAAAGAGAGATGAGAGGGAGCCGAAGCAACGGCCACCTTGTTATCAGTCGGCTGCGAGGAGTACAGGATGGAGGGAGAGACAGAGAGGAGGTAATTAGAGTGAACCATCAGTACTGTGGTTGCACTGTGTTGTGTACGAGTGTTAGTGAGGCACATTCCACCAGGGCTGGACGCTGGGATTCACTACGACCCACCAACGGCACGGAGGTCAAAGATCAGTCAAGCGCTGACATTTGCTCAAAAGACCTCATGTCTTCTCTCCTGCCCTTTCTTCTTTCACTTCCTCTTAATTTACTTTTTCACTTCCCTTGGCTCTATTTTTATCCCACTTTTCGTCTTCCTCGTGCACCTCATTTCACAGCATCCCCCCCCCCGCCACCTCCTCTCCAAATATTTCGCTCTATCGGCTTAGTAGCTCTCAAGTGAACCAACATTAGTTTTACAAACCGAGGCTCATGTTCTGAGTTTGTAAGAGGGATGTAGCCCAACCAAAAATATCCTCTGTTTCTGCGCCAACACAAACAGCAAGCCAGACAAGCGAATGTACAAGAATGTGTGAGTAAATGAAGCGCTGCGCTTTCAGACAGTGCTCAGGATTTAAGAGACCCATTGAGCGGTGCATGGGAAAAATACACAATGACACACACCACATTAAATCAAGTGACTTTCTGGCACATGCACAGAGAGCCCCAAGTCTTTACTCGGTTAGATAATCTGACTTTAATTCGTCATGGCTCCTGGGATGGCTGGTCTGTCCACCACTCTGGTCCAGATTGAAATATCTCAACTGTTGGATAGATTGTTTAGAAATATCGGTGTCCAGAGGATGAACTAAACTACTGGCCACCAGCAGGTTACAGTTTTTATTTATTTCGTGACATAGCTTAACATCTACTCGATGAACCGGTTGAATATTTCAATCATGTTTTCATCAGTTTTTAGCAAGTCACAGAACAGTGATCATAACTCACAGACGCATCACATATTATACACATTTTCTACCACTGGCACACATTTGCCAGACATAATGGAAATAAAACTGCTGAACCCTTCCTTTCAGAACTGCTAAAATCCCTAATTTTTTTCCTTCATGGGATAATAACAGTCGACTACCATCAGTCAAGACAGTCTGCGTGAAAGCGATAGAATAAATTACATAACAAACTATCTACCGGGAGATGATGCGCCGGTGTTGGTGTCTGAGAGGAAGAAATAATATCAGAGCCCATCTGTATCGCATCCTTCTCTCTTTGCCAGCCTCCTCCTCTCTCATTTATATCTCATTGATTGCAATTCTTTGTCTCAATCTTTTCTTTCGTTCTTTAAAATGCATCTTTTCACAATATGTTTTGAGTCCAGAGCGATCAATCAGGCCGCTGCTCTGTTTTACACATGAGGCAGCTGGACAGACAGAGACAGGCAATTAAAGCGTAATTAGGGAGTCTGCTGTCCGATCTGTGTGTGTGTGTGTGTGTGTGTGTTTGTGTATTTAGGGACGCAGGCTGTTGGCTGTCACTCTGTGCATGTGTGTGTGTGCGAGAGAGAAGAAAGAAAGAGGGGCTGTTGGATGGAGGCGGGGGGGGTAGAGCCAGGCTGCATGGGGGTCTCTTTAGCTGATGCAGGCCAAATAATCGGATTTAGCCAAAGAGAGGGAAAGTGTGTGTGTGAGGTGGTGTGTGATGGGGTAAAAAAAAAAAAGACAGATGGGAACAAGACGGTCAGCTTGCGACCTGCGCGCACACACACACACACACACACACACACAGAGACACTCTTACAGTATATCTATAATGCATGCCATATTTATGAGCGACCGAACCGCCCCCCCAAAAAAGCTACGGTTAAGTACATTGCAGGCAGAAAAATATTTCCGAGTCTGCAGTCAAGGCAGCGTGGCAGAGAGGAGGAGACCCACGGAGTCGTGTCAGTCCCACATCTACTGAAAAGTTAATGTGAACCCGTCTTTAATACTCTGCCTCGTTTTGCCTTTTTCCTTCAAGCTCTCTCTCTCTCTCTCTCTTTCTCACACATCATAATGAGATGCCCCTCGTTATGAAAAGATCCATCCCTCTCTTCTGCTCTCACCTTACCTACTACTGCTGTATTCTGGACATCAAACCAGGATCTCTCTTCGATTCTACCCTTCTTATCCCAAATTCTCAAAGAGCATTCTTTAATACCCAGTGCACAAACTTGCCTCTGTGTCTACTGTGTGCATGTGTGTTTTGGAAAGACAGAAAAATAAAAAAAGGATGCGGGGGCAGCAAAAGGAGAGAACAAAGAAAATAGAAAAAAGAGGAGAAAGGGAAGAAGGAAGAACAAGAGACAGTGTGTGTGTGTTTATGTGTGCCGTACCTACATGACAGCCACTATCACTCACCAACCAGAGCCTCTCACTGAAACCACCATAGCCTTCCGCTCCCTGTCTCTCTGCTAACCCAAACACGGCTCAGGTGAAGATTGATGGATGTTCTGGGTAACTAAGCCCACTCTACACACCTGGATGATAGCACTAGGGGTCCAGGAAGACGTGTGTTAAGATTTCAGCCAGCATGTGTCATAAAAACTGTCTATAAAAATGGTGCACCGGCGCCAACACTGGGACAAGGAGTGTGCACAGAAGATCATCGAGAAGAGAGAAGCAGCGAGAGGAGTGCAACGCGGTACCTGACGGGCAAAGAATGTCAGTAGGTGTAGGTGTGTGTGTGTGTGTGTGTGTGTGTGTGTGGTCCAAAACATATTTGGCCTCTAACAGGATTAGTGTGTCCGACTGTTGGCAAAGCAA